CCGCCACCGCCACCGCCACCGCCACCGCCACCGCCACCGCCACCGCCACCGCCACCGCCACCGCCACCGCCACCGCCACCGCCACCGCCACCGCCACCGCCACCGCCACCGCCACCGCCACCGCCACCGCCACCGCCACCGCCACCGCCACCGCCACCGCCACCGCCACCGCCACCGCCACCGCCACCGCCACCGCCACCGCCACCGCCACCGGCACCGGCACCGGCACCGGCACCGGCACCGGCACCGCACCGCACCGCACCGCACCGCACCGCACCGCACCGCACCGCACCGCACCGCACCACACACACACACACACCACACACACACACACACGCACCACACACACACCACACACACACACACACACCACACACACCACACACACACAGTGGAGCACATAGCTTGTCCCGCATGGCTTGCATCTTATATCTTACGCCACAAGGCTTAGACCGCATAGCTTTCTCCTCCAGCTCGCACCACAGAGTTTACACGGCATTGCACATAATACATTGCACCGCGTAGTTTTCGCCTCCACAGCTCACTCCGCATAGCTTACACGAAGTAGCTTACATCACAAAGCTTTCACGGCATAGCTGTCACCTCCGCAGTGGGATACTTCATTGTTTGAATTCTACCCTGGCTAGCATTGAAGCGCCGAAACAAAGTTCGGATCTGTAAAAAGCCGAACACCTTCTGAAGTGCAATGGGCTATCTAGTGGCCTTCGGTCCACTGCGCCATCGTGCCTGGGTTGTCCGTCAGAAGCCGCTTGGATGCCTGTGAGCATCTGTTCGGAGACCTCTCGGCAGCCTCTTGGAGGCGGCTTTGGGTGTTTTCGGGGCGTCTCGCGGGCCTCCTTGGGGCCTGACTTGAGCTTCTCGGGGCCTCTGGGGGGCACTTCGGGGGCCCCTCCAGGGATCCTCCGTAGCCATTTTGGCTCAAGCCGTGTTGGCTCAGGCCCCGCGCGCCCCTGGGGGCTCGCCCCGGATGGCGTCCAGCGAGGCGATCAGGCGCTACCGCGAGCTCCTGGCAGAGAAGGAGGCGCTCGCCCGCAGCATCGCCTGGCTCCGCTCGCAGCTCCCGGCGGAGCCCGACGCCTGCGCGCCCACGGGCTCGGACCTCCTGTTCCTCGCGGACTACGCGTGCAAGGAGAGGCACATCTCCGTGCGAGGCCTGGCCAGCCCGGCCGTGGCCGAGGCCGCGCCAGTGGAGCTGACGGTGTTCAGCCACGCGCAGAGGGGGGTGGGGGAGGGGGGAAGGCTTCTTAGCAGCCTCTTTCTAAGAAGCCCTCCCCCCTCCGTCCGCACCCTTGTGCGCGCCGCCAAGGTGCAGCAGCGGATGGAGAAGATGAGCGCCGTCGTCTGGCCCAGCAGCTGCGTGCTGGCGGAGGTGGTGGCCTGCGAGCTGCGGGACATCTGCCAGGGCGGCGCCCCAGTGCTCGAGCTCGGGTGCGGCACGGCGCTGCCGTCGCTGGTGGCGGCCGCGCTGGGGGCCGAGGCGCTGGCCACCGATGCCGAGGTGGCCGCGGCAGAGTTGGTTATCGCGCGCAACCAAGGCGCGATTACGCTTGGCTCAGTGACGACCGCATGCCTCCGCTGGGGCGATAGCGTGCCCGAGAGGCCCTGGGGCGCGGTGCTGGCTTCGGACTGCATTTATGATGAGGGCGGTCACGTGCCCCTCGCTGCGACGCTGGCCAGTGTCGCTGGTGCGGCACTCGCTGGCGGATCGCAGAAGCGGGTGCGCATCCTCGTGGCATACCAGGACCGGCGTCCGGAGGTGGAGCAGCGCTTCCTCCTGGACCGCCTGCGGGAGGTGGGGCTTCAGGCCAGCGAGCTGCGCTTGGACGCCGTGCCGCTGAGCGAGAAGCTGAGGTCGTGCGTCCACGTCGTGGACGTCGTTCCGCTGGCGTTGGTGGCCGAGGCGGTGGAGAGCATCCACTTGTAAACGCCCAGACGTCCGCGCGGCTGACGCGGTGCCCCTGAGCGAGAGGCTGACGCGGTGCGTCCTGGCCGTGAACGTCGCGCCGCCATCGCCGGTTGGCAGCCTCGGCCTGTAGAAGGCGCGCTGGCAGGGCGCGGGGGCAGCCGCTGCGCCAGTCGTGGCGGCGCGCGCCCGCGCGTGCCTGCCTGGTGACGGCTTCGGCTGCGCCGCGCGATGGGCCCACCCCTCCTCGGGGGACACACTCGCCGCGCGGCGGGCTCGCGGCTCGAGTTCAGGAGGGAAAAAAACACACAGACACAATTAATCGTCGATTCCCCAGGAAATATGGGAAAATATGGGAATGGGGGGGAAGACAAAAACCCAGAACATACGGAAAACATATGGGGAATCTTTTTATTTGTGTGTATTTATTTGTGTGTCCCAGGGCCCCTTCAGAGTGTTAAGACTCTCCAGGGATCTTGGGTTCATCTTGGTGCGGATGCCTTAAGCTGTCAGTTCGTGTGCCACCCGTTCGGCACCTCTTGGCACTGTCTTTGGGGCCTCTTGGCCTTTTGGGCCTCTCTTGGTGGCTTTTTGGCCGTGTTTTGGGGATCTTGGGCGCCTCTTTTAGCCGTCTTGCACGCTCTGAAACTTCCGTACTACTAAAACCATTCAAAACCAACGGGTTTCTCCAAGACGGCCCAGGAGGCGCCCAAGAGGGTTCCAGGACGGTTCTCGGGGCCCTCTTTGGCCATGTTGGACATGCGTGTCCCGAACACCGTGCGGTTGGCCTCTGGAAAAACCATGCGAGTTGGGAGGAGAGAGAGAGAGAGAGAGAGAAAGAGGAAGGGCAGGGATGGAGAGAAGGACGGAGGAAGTTTGCCAGTGGGTGGGAGTCATTTCCACCTTCTCCGCGCTCGACTGGCCTTTTCCAGTCGTTGTCAGCATCTACAGGCTACGTATATGCATCTCCCTCTCTCTCTCTCTCTCTCTGCTGGCCCCTGTGATTTTTCCAGATCCTGCCACTCCTGCGATTCCAGGCTTCGTCGCATCTGGCCTTCCGGGGGAGCAGGGAGGGAGGATGGGAAGGGGGGGGAAGCACAAGGGAGAAGGTGAGTCGGAGGGCCTCATCATTTCTTATTCCTCCTCCCTCCCTCCCTCCCTCCCTCCCTCCCCTCCTTCTCTTCGTCCTCCTCGTCCTCCTCCTCCTTCTCCTCCTCCTCCTCCCTCTCATTCCGCTCAGAACGCGTTTGGCCGTTCGGAGGGGTGTTCTCGCCTCAGCGCCTGCCACGCTTCCCGCCCCGACGCCACAGCTGTTCTCTTTACTCGCCCCTCCCGCTTGTGGGGAAGAACAACCCCGACCCCCTATAATTCCAGTTCACCAAACGGCCCTGGGCATTTGCTGGGCAGCTTTGCCATTGGACGCATTCTACTGAACGGCTTCGCTGGTCAGAGTGCTTATTCTGAGCGTGGTTGTTCTCCGTTCTATCGAAGACGCCTACGGCGAGTCACCGCCGCCCCCTGCCTTTGTGCTTCGACGTTTGAGCAACGTTTGGCCACGCTATTGGACCATGCGCTGCCCCGGCCGTTGTTGAAGCCCTAAGGGGAACACGCAGGGGAGGAAGAGGAGTATGAGGAGAGGGAGGGAAACGGAGGATGAGAAGGATGCGGAGAACTCTTGGGACCTCCTTGGGTCATTCTTGGAACATCTTGGAGGCTTTTATCAAAGCGGCGCTGTGCGTCCTTCCCGGTAGCTGGCGGACTGTGCCGAGAGGCCACGTGGAGATTTTTAGACAAGAAACGACAGTCTGCCAGAGGTTCGGCACGCCGTGCACCAAGACCACAGGGGTCGGCGGATGACGGAACGCGCGAGTAGCGTCGCGATCCGTAAGCCAGGAGAAATATCAAGGAGGGGTGTGAGGGGTTGGCTTTTCCAGCCCCAGATGGAATCGCCCAATGTTTGACCATGCTGGGCCCTAAACGGCCCAAGTCAGCCCCAAGAGCGCCTGAGAGGGCCTCAGGACGGCCCAAGGCAGCCCCAATAGCGCCCAAGATACCTCCAATGCGGTCTCAGGGGGGCCCAAGAGGATCCCACGACGGCCCACGAGTGCTCAAGGAGGGCCCAGGAAGGCCTCAAGGCGGCGAATTAGGCTCTTCAGACACCCCACGAGGTCTCCAAAAGGACGCCCAAGAGGCAACACCCGTCCCATTATTTTAGGACAACGTGCATTTCTAGCATATCTCCTTCTTTGGTCTTCACGGGGTCCACGACGGCTCGAGATGCCCCCATACTCGCCCCAAGACGGCACAAGAGGCCCCCAAGACGGCCCCAAGACGGGGGGTCCGTAGCCATTTTGGCTCAAGGCCCAGCTTCTCGCGATACTTCGGCTGCGAAGAGGAGCTTCTCCTGGATGCCATGCTCCCTGCTCCGATCAAGTTAGCGATCGGGGTGGCTGGTATTTATGCGTCCTTCATGTACTATGGCTCTCTCCAGGAGGACGTGCTGACCTTCAAAGACGCGAGCGGCGGCAAGTTCAAGTATTCTTGGTTTCTGCAGGCCATAGAGGCCGTGGCCAACGTCGTGTTCGGCTTTGTTCTCATGCTTGCGATCGAGGGCTTCCGGCTTCACAAGATGCCGCAGTTCCCCTATCTCCTGAGCGGTGGCTTGCAGGTGTCCGCAAAGTACTTCACGACGCAGTCCATGGTTGCGGGCGTGTCCTTCCCCGTTGCCACATTAGCAAAGTCGTCCAAGATGGTGCCAGTCCTGATTGGACAGCTCCTCCTGGGGTCTGCGAAATACACCACCCGGGAGTACCTGAATGTTGCCCTCATCGTTGCTGGAGCCGGGCTCGTCAGCATGGCCGGAAAGTCCAAAGCAGGCAAGCAGGATTCTATTATGGGTCTACTCTGCCTCTGCGGCTCTCTCGCATGCGATGGCAGCGTGGCAGGCGCACAGAGAAGTCTGAAGAAAAAGCTTTCAGAATCGGGGCTGAAGGAGAAGAACTTTGAGATGCAATTCCTTACAAACTTTTATATGGCCCTGACGGCACTAGGGTTCGCTGCAGTGTTCCAGGAATTTGTACCCGCAATGTTGTTCATCCTCGCAAGTCCGGTCATCTTTACAAAGATTGCCTTGTTCGCAGCTTGTAGTGCATTTGGTCAGGCGGTCATCTTTTTTGTTATCTCCGAGTTTGATTCTCTCGTGTGCAGTACTGTGACGACCACCAGGAAGATATTTTCCGTGCTTCTATCTGTCTTCACAAAAGGCCATAGCATGAACGCTCAGGGGTGGTTTGGCATTAGCCTGGCATGCGTGGGCATCCTCTCAGAGCTGCATGACAAGCTTCAAATCCAACAAGCTTCAAGTCCAAGAAGCCGGATGAGTCTAAGGAGAAGACGAAATGAGACAAGGAGAAGTCGGATAATCCAAGGAGTAGTTGGACAACGAGTCGAAGTGAGAGGCCAGAGCCTTGCATAGCCATGTGCTCGTAAGAAACAAAACAAAGAAGAAGACGGCCACAAGACGGCCCAAGAGGGCTCCAATACGGCCCAAGAGGACCCCAAGACGCCCCACGAGAGGTCCCTGAGGGCCCCAAAGGTCCCCAAGAGTGCCCCAACAGGGCTTCAGGAGGTCCCCAAGAGGGCCCCGAGAGGGCTCCGAGAGGGCCCCAAGACGGCCCAAGCCCCAGACGGCCCGAGGAGGAGGAGGAGGAGGAGGGGGAGGGAGGAGGAGGAGGAGGAGGAGGAGGAGGAGGAGGAGGAGGAGGAGGAGGAGGGCGGAGTGGGGGAGGGGGGAGGGGGGAGGGCGGGCATGGGAGGGACCGGGAGGGATGGTGTCGGAGGATCGCGCCGCATGGCCGATGCATCGCCGATGCGGCTCGATGTGGAGCCCGATCTTCTTCACGCCGACGTCGGAGGTGCATCGGCGACGTCCCCAGTGCATCGGCGATGCATCGGCGATGCATCGGCGATGCGGCGAGATCCTCCGACCCCATCTACTCGGACCCCATCTGGGAGGCCTCTACGAGAGAAGAGCCGCCTGGGGCTCTCAGTCCTCGCCCAACGCCCCCGCCGCACGTCTCCGCCCACCAGACCACCCCGGCCCAGCTCGAAGGCCCCGACTTGCCATCCGCTTCCCCTGTGGGGCGGAGGGGGGGACGGCGGCCCCTGGCCTGGGAGCGCTGCCGCAGCGAGCGCCTGGCACTCCTCGCGGCAGGTGGGAACTCCCCTCTTCGGGGCGGCCACCTCCTCGCCACGGCGTGGCTCGCACTGCTCGGCGCCCGAGCCGACGGCCTCCAACGGCCACAACAAAGGGTGTGTGTTTGTGTGTGGAAATAACAGAGGGTGGGAGAAAAACGCATGCGGGGCCCGTACCCCGGGGTGCCCTGTAAGTAGTCAGCATGCAGCAGCCTCGATGGTACTCCGAGCGTCGGGAGGCTCAGCCTGGAGGCCCGCGCACCCGGGCCCCCCGGACTGCCGGACCCCCTCCTCCTCCTCCTCCTCCTCCTCCTCCTCCTCCTCCTCCTGCTCCTCCTCCTCCTCCTCCTCCTCCTCCTCCTCCTCCTCAAAGTGGTCCGCCCCACTTCAGCCAGCCCCAGTTCTTGCACCCTCGCTGCTCGCCCAGTGTCCTTGTCATGTCGGGCGGCACGCCGAGGCGCTGGGTTGCCTGCCAGAATTGTGGGCCTCGCAGCTGGGTTTTTCTTGACAGCGGTCTTCGTAAGTGCCAGTTTTGCGGGAGCAACATCCAGCCGCCCACAGGATGGCTCCCAAAGCGAGGTCGAGGCAAAGGTCGTGACGCAGGCATGGCAGGAGGTGCTGCAGCTCCCGCTTCGCCGCAGGTGGACCTTTTCAAGTATTGCCAGAACCGCTACGGCGCCAGTGGTGCCACTATGCCTCAGCCGCCAGCGGAAGACCAGCCGCCAGACGTGCTCACCTCGCCCAAGACGGACGACGAGGACAAGCTGCAACAGCAGATCGCATCGCTCGAGAAGTACATTGCAATGGCTGACGCAGTCACAGACGAGCTTGTGCCAGGCCATGCACAGAACATTGCGGAGTCCAAGCAAAAGCTGGCGCAGCTCAAGGCTCAGGCGGCAGCAAATCTTCCGCATCATGATCGAGTCCAACGGGCCAGTATCAGAGTCCAGCGTGCATCAGACAAACTGGAAAAGATTCGCAAGCAGCTCGACGAGAATGCTAGATTCATTGGCCATATGGAGCAACTCCTCACTACTATGCGAGAGGATGGCGCCAACCTTCAGCAACGATTTGAGGAGGCCCAGCAACAGTACGATGACGAACGCGAGCAGCAGTCGAAGACATGGGCTTCGACGGCCCGCGGCCAATTGGGTGACATCCAGGCTTTCAAGCTGTCCCTCGACACGCTGGCAGCCAAGGCCGAGGCGAACAGCGAGGTGGCCCAGCTTTTGGCCATGGGCAAGCAGCTCATCACCGCACTCGAGGCCAACGGTACGGAGGACGCCATGGACACCGAGGCAGCATCGCCCGCGCAGCAGGACAGCATCGTGCAGCAGCAGCTCGCTGCGCTTGAATCCCGGATTCCTACAGAGAGAAAGGCTGACTGGGAGGCAGCGAAGGCGCAGATGGCCAAGGCGCAGCAGCCTGGCACGCAGGTGCACACAGCCTCGGACCAGACAGGCAGTGCTCCGACGGCGACTCGCCCATCAGGACCTGCTCAGGTGGCTAAGCGACCTGCTGTACCTGCGCCACTTTCACCGCCGCCTGCTCGTGCTAGAGAACCAGGTCCAGGCCGTGGCAAGGGCGGGCGCTCCGACGACAAGGAGCGCACCGAGGGCCGCGGGTCGCGCTCCCCGCGGGAGACGCAGCGTGCTGGCGCTCCTGCTGAAGTGCCACGCCCTGCTGAGCCAGCAGATGCAGCTGCCAGTGCGGCTGATGTCAGGCCAAGGTCATAGCAAAACTTTTCCAGTCCCTGCAGGCACGCAGTGGACGCCCTACATCACAAGGCAGAACGACTTCCACAGTTTTGGGCCCTCAGCTTCTGGCAGCGATTTTGATTTCGACCCTTCCGATGTTTATGGAGATCTCGGAAGTGTGGGAGAAGCTATGCTGGTGGAAACTTATCATGGGCTTTTGTGGGATACTATCATACAAAGATTGGGGGAATATCTGAATACCTCGGTCGCAGTTTTGTTAGCGCAGGAATTTCAACTCCTGGAGGGGTCCCTGGGAACTGCTTCAGCATGGGTGCTATACCATGGGTGGAAGTCGTTCTGGGCCCAGAGTTCTATAGGCCCCTTTGGCACGGCTCGTTCCAGTCGCTTAGACCTAGAGGACGAAGGCGTTTCTTCAGGAGTAGCCAGCTATGTTGGTGCTACTCTAGGGGCCTACAATCCAACACCACCCTCATTCCCGTCCGAAGGAGTTTTCTTTCGGGGCAGGGCTTTGTCTTGGGCGGTAGAGTTCCCAGGCGCTCCAGGAGATTTGCGTGTCTTGGAATATGGAAAAGTCTTGGAGGAGTTGTCGGTTACATACTTGGAGCTTTCGGAGAGGGTGGCAACACACTGTAAGGCATCCAAAATGCAGCTTATCATAGGAGGTGAAATTCCAACCAGAATAGGTCTGCCTGCCAGGATGCAGGACACATGCATATTGCAGTTCGACACCACGCCCGCGCTTGCCTGCCAGCTGCCAGAAGAGTCCGAAGAGTTCGGAATTTCCACGGTCGACTTGACCGATCTATTGCAGCGTTGCGAGCAGTTCTCTTTCCAGCTTCATGGGCAGGCGAGGGAGGAGAAACCAGAGGGCATGGAGAGATTGCATGGGGTTTACAACAGTTATCTGTCGGATAAGTCGGAGAGGGGGCTTGCGGACAGGATGGGCAAGGATCCCGCAGGGCCTGGAGTTAAAGGTCTTTTGCCAAAGCCGCGCCGCATCTCACTAGTGCAGAAGTCGCCAGTGCGCAAGCAGTTTGCAGCAGTCACACAAGGTTCAGCGCGTGCAGTTTCGCGCATGCGACGCAGGCTTCATCGACTTACATGCATTCTTTCGACAGGAGTCACGCGAGGTATTTTCGTGCGGAGCTTTCGCATGATCTGAACATGTTGTGTTTCAATGATAGAGAAGTAGTGCAGGCTCATTTCTATCTATTGGGTATATCGGAGTGCCAGGGGCAATTATTACCTCAGCTTTAATGGGTTCCGTTGGTCCCTAAGGCCTCCATAAGGTACAGCACTATTGGGAGATTCAGCAGTATCAAGTGGGCTAAAAAAGTTTGGGCTGCCAGTTCTGGCAAAGCTGTTCCGGTGGGTTCGGTTGGGCCCTTGCAGTTGAAAGCTTATTGGGATCAGTTGGGCCCACAGCCGAGACACAAATGCAGTCAGGTTAGAGGACCCATCAAGGCAGCATTTCATGCGCATGATAGGATCGGCTGGAACTTTCAAGGACCCTACGTGCTAGACACGCACGAGGACAAGTCAATCTCGCTCGCGGACCTCCCGCCAAAGCTGGTAGAGCTCTGGCTGCTGGACGCCTGCGCCAGGAGTCGGGAAATCAAAGCAGCGCTCAGTCACAGCCAAGTCGAGTCCACACCTAGAGGTTGTTTCGACATGGTCAAGAGGTTTCTCGGAGTAGGAGGAGAAATAACATGCAGAAAACCAGCCAGGGATCCGAATGAAGACAATGTTTTTCAAATCATGATATTCTCGGGACAGAAAGCCTTACTTAGGGCCGTCTTTTGTCAAGGGTATTGGACAACCAGTAGGGCAGCTGCTGCAGGATACTCCACGGAGGACCAGGGTGCACACTGTGGAGATGCAGGTGACCCACTCGTTCACTGCCTGCACTTCTGCCAGGCTGAGGAGGCTGTCGAACGGAGAAAGAAGTTGAGTCATTCCGACCTGCTAGCTAAGTATGTAGTTTCAGCTGGCAGGTTATTAGATTTGATTTTTCAGTTAAGTATTCTTTCCCAACCCTCCTCAGCTTTTGTTGTGTTTCCCGCTCCTGCTAGCGAATTTGTTATTGCCAGTAATCTAGTAGGCCGCAAGATGCATTTTGGCACACAATGCACTTGTAAAGTCGGCCCTCTCACGGGGCATTTTGGCACGTGCATGCTGTCAGGCATTAAGAGTTTCGACAGAGACGCCTGGGAGGTTGGAGGATTTTTGGCTGACGGGGAGCTCGAAGTGGGTTGCTCGGAGCCAGGTGATTTCCGCCTCCATACCCCTCAGGTGTCTGAACTTTTAGGATTCTTGGCGGGGCAGCAGATCTTAACAGAACAAGTGCAGGCTTCTTTCGATTGTAAGTCGGTCCTGTACATTTATCACCAGCTTCTCGCCGTGGGAATGTCGCATATGAGTTTTCACGCAGTTTCTTGTCGCACTGCTCTCGCAAGTTGCAGTAGCAAGCACTTTACTTCCGCGGTAAAGGTCAAGGCACACCAGAGCGAAGACTCGATGGCCTCAGAGGACCTTTCGCCCTTTCGCATCAACAAGCAGTGCGATTGGTCAGCGAAGGCAGCCCTCCGGTTACTTCAGTCGTCTGACCCGTCGTTTGAGTCGTCGTTGCAAGTCAAAAAGGAGGATGCCGCCAATATTCTTCTTTTCACCCCGCGCAGGATGCAGGCTTGGCCGAAGCTCTTGAGAGGAGAGCGTACTCCAGGCAAGCAGGATCGTAGAATTCAGCACTGGCTCGCGCAAGACTGGCAACGAGCCCAGCATCTTCTTTGGCGCTGCGCAGGAAGTTTTACGTTTTCGCACTTGGATGAAGCTGTTTCCAGGTGTCGAACCGAGCTGAGCGCACCTTTCTCAGTTGAGTTCAGGTCACACTTACAGCTGGTGCACCCCTCTCGTGCCCTCTTGGCAAAGACATGCCTTGACGGCCTCACTGTGGTTTGTGTCGTATGTGGGATGCACGCGACTTCTGTTTTCAAGGACATGCTGGCACAGTGCCTTGGTCCACCGAAGAGTGGCAAGAGACTAACTGACCGCAAGCGACTTAGTTCTGGCCCCCATACAGAGGATGGCAGGCCTTTGAATCAGATCGAGTGTTTCAAGGCACTACAGAGAAGTCAGCAGCCCAGGAAGGCCCCAGATACATAGTCTGGGGTCATTGGCGCTAGCCACGTCAGAAGGCTATCGCTTCTGCCCTCGAGCAAAAAAAAAGCATGGTGACATTTTTGCTAGCAAGCCCTCCCCAAAGCCCCCTGAGCCTGGAGATCTCGACCCCTCCGCTGGTGGTCTCGGGGGCTTCTCGTCGCAGGTCGACCCTCTGGGCGAAGAAGGCTTCGAGGTGCTTTTTGAGGCGCAGGAAGAGGACCCTTGGGCCGACGAGTCCTCGTTTAAGCCAGCCTCTAGAGTTCCAGTCTCTGCCAGCGATCCTCCTGGAGGGGGCCCTGCAATTCGGCGTGAGGAAGTTGCGTCCCCCCCAGCCGAGCGCCCTCGGAACAACGGTCCCCTGGAGGGGGTTGGCGATCTTCTTCCCTGTGCCGTGGCTTGTGCCCCTTCTGCTCCCCTCCCCTCTTTCGCCATCCCCTCTGCTTCGTGGGTAGCCGCTTTGGCTCGAGCCCCTTGGACTGCACACTCTATTCACGAAGTTTGGGCACCTATTCGTCAATCGCTCGCCTTCCAGTCAGGCGCGCGGCATGTACTGCCCATCAGCGGGGCTTTCTCGAGGTGGGTCGCTACTACGGAGATGACCATCGCCAGCCATCATAGCGTCGGAGTCCCAGAGCGGTCTCGGGCAATAGGTTGCGAGCTTCGAGTGGTTTCTGTCAAGCACGCCGAACACGTTCGGCAAGAGCCGCTCAGAGATGGCATTTCTACGTAGTGGTCAAGGATACACAACATTGTTCAGCGAGCGCTTCGTCATCGCAGGCGAAGCACCGGCACCGTGCAGCTCGGCTACTTGGCGGCAGCGGCCGCCAGACTGGCCGACCAGCCCGTCGACGGGGCAGGCGCGGCATTTCCAGCCCACCTTGGTTCGTGGCAGGGCCTCCTGCAGGACCTCAGGCGCGTCATCAAGCTCAACGTCGAGGAGCTAAACGCGCTGGAGGAGAGAACTTTCAGAGCTTCGAGGCGTGCAGAACCGTGCAGCGGCAGCGTCTCCGAAGGAGTTGCAGCAATGGTTCAGTGGCCTTGACTCACCGGGGCAAGTCTTTAGATCGCTGAAGGACCCTGATCCAGAACAGGACGAGCTGCATGATGCCGACGGGTCCTATGGACATTGTCGATCGTAAAGTTCTTAGGTATCACAAATTGTGGCATTCCGAGGTTACGACCTGGGACGGAGTGTTAGCTACGATGGCGACAATCAGGAGCAGGGCGGAGGTGGAGCAGCTCGTGCCCTTGGAGATTCCAGATGTTCGGGCTGCTTTGTCTCGCGTGAAGGCTCGAGCGGGCCTCGGCATCGACAGGCTTTCCCCGACGGACATGGAGAGGCTGCCCGACGAGGCCATCCAGAGCCCCTGCGACCTCTTCCGCATGATAGAGGAGGGCCTCTCGTGGCCGTGGCAGGTCATGCGCGTGATCGGGAAGCTGCTCGGCAAGAAGTCGGGCGGCGATCGCGTCATAGGACTGATCGCCATGCTGTGCCGCTCTTGGTCCATGGCCAGAGAGGTGCAGATGAAGGGTTGGTATGCTTCCCAGGCCGAGACCGACCACTGGGACGCGGCCATTGCGGGAAGCAGTGCCCTGCGCGAGGCTTTCGTGCGGGCGCTGCAGGTCGAGGTTCACTCACGTCTGGATATCCCGCGTGGCCAAACAGTGGTCGACATTGCATCTTTTTACGATTCCATCGAGTGGGAGCCTCTTGCCCTTTGCGCGCTGCGCAAGGGTTTCCCAGCAGTCATTTTGCATTTAGAACTCCAGATTTGCAAAGCGCCCCGCATGCTAGAGCAGATCGACTCTTTCAGTGTACCGCTTCCAGTGATTCGCTCAGTGGTGCAGGGACTGCGGAACGGCACACGTTTCGCCAAGTGCCTCACTGCATATGTATGCCAGCGCCTATGCCAGGCGCGCGCGTCGCTGAGCGAGCGCATCTGGATCGACGATTTGTCACGGCGTGTAGTGGGGTCGAGACAGCATGTTCGATCGACTCTCATCAAAGGCGTGCTGTCCACGATCAGGTTTGTTTTTCCACGCTGCAGGTGTCCATCGCCGACGAAAGCGTCGTGCTGTGGTCTCACCACGTTGACGCTCTGGCGGTCGAGCGCGTCCTCAGGAAGAAGGGCGTCGCGCTGCGTGCCGTGCTGCAGACAGCCTACCTGGGGGTGGACTTGTCCTGCGGCAAGCGGCAGGGCCGCGCGACGGTCAGGCAGAGGGCGCTCAAGTCCAGCAAGGCGCACGGGCTGCTGCGGAGGTGCGCTCAGGCCGCCAGGCGCTGGGCGATCTCGGCCAAGCAGCAGCGGGCAGGGCCGCAGGCGGCTGCTGTCTACGGGCATCACGTGTACGGGCAGTTCGGCTCGGCGCTGCAGGCGCAGCGCCGCAGGCTGGGTGCGGCGGCGGGATCCGCCAAGCGCGGGCGGTGCCTCACGACGCTGCTGGCGCCCAGGCTTCCAGGGAGTGACCCTGGCGTACTGCTGCCGCGACAGTGCCTTTCTCAGTGGCTGAGCGTATGGCTGTCTGATCCTCAGATTCGGCCAGCCATTGCACGAGCATGGCCACGAGCGGTGGCCCATCTCTCCAGCTTACCTCCTCCTCCTCCTCCTCCTCCTCCTCCTCCTCCTCCTCCTCCTCCTTTTCCTTTTCCTCCTCCTCCTCCTCCTCCTCCTCCTCCTCCTCCTCCTCCTCCTCCTCCTCCTCCTCCTCCTCCTCCCCTGCTGCTCCTCCTTCTGCCCCGCCTGCTTTCTGCCCCGCCGCCCAACAAAAAGAGAGCCCAGGGCGGCGCGCCCGGCGCCGGCGCGTGGCGCCGCGGCCGTGGCCGCGGCGGCGGCCGCGGGCGGAGTCGCCGCCCGCAGCGGCGGAAAGGACGAAGCGCAGCACTTCGGATCGCGAGTCACCTGCGAGCGCGGCAAGCTGCGGCCCGGCACTGGCCAGGCATCGGCGCTGCACCTCCGCTCGGCGCGCGCGGACCTGGAGGCGGCGGTGGTGCAGAGCGCTGCGCAGCGCAGCAGGCGCTCACCGCACTCGGTGCCCGCTCGGTCCAGGCGCTGGGCTGGCCGGGGCGGCGGGGCCCGCGCCTTGTGCGCTCTGCAGCTGAAGGTGGTAGAGGACGAGGAGGGGGAGGAGGCGCAGGTGGAGGTGCCGGCGCTGGCAGTGGGTAGGCACCAGCTCACTTCCTACCAATGTAGGCGGCGGGCTGGCGCGCTCGACGGTGTCCCAGAGGGGGAGGGGGAGGAGGAGGAGAAGGAGGAGGAGGAGGAGAAGGAGGAGGAGGAGGAGGTGGAGGAGGAGGTGGAGGAGGAGGCAGAAACCTTTTGAATGCCTTGCGGGATCTCGTTGGATTTCTTCCCAGAGTTTCATGGAGTCCTCTTGGGGTGTCTTCGGCGTCTCTTGGCAGTCCCGGGGCATCTCTGGGCTTTCTGGGCACCTTTCTGGGTCGTCTTGGGGCACCCTTGGGAGCCACGGGGGCCATCTTTCTGGACGCCCGAAATGGGTACGGAAAGAATGGGTACAATGCCCAACAGGAGTTCCTGCTCATTTTGAACAGGATTCGCTGTCCACGCCGCTGCGGCCTGTGTCCATTCGAGACAGAAGGCCGCCTGCCCAACAGCAGCCGCTGTTGGTTTGGGACAACATTTGCTGTTGGGCATTGTACCCATTTTTTCCGTACCCATTTCGGGCGTCCAAAATTTTTGGGGGCCATTTTGGAGGAGATCGATCAAAGGAAGGGCAGTAGCGCATTAGCCCCCCCCCAGGAGGCCCAAACGTTGCAAGCACTTCAGTGCAATCGACGATTTTGATGATTTGTTCCGGTTTCTCGCCGAGGCCTCTTGGGACGGCTGGGTGCCTCTGGGGGCGTCTCGGCGCGTTTTGGGGGTCTCTTGGAACTTTTTGGGGGAACATCTTGAGGGGCCTCCTGCGACATCCTGGGCACTTTTGGGGGCCGTCTTTGGGCGCCCCTGAAAGCCTCGGGGATCACGTTTGGGCCATCGTGGCGGAGATTGCTCAGAGGAGATCGTGGCCGAGACCTTCCATGCTTTTGCTCGTCTTCTCGCCGGGGCCTCTCGGGGCGTCGTGGGTGCCTCCGGGGGCCCCTTCGCGCGTCTGGGGGGGGGGGTCTTTGGGGGGGCCCCTCGTGGGCCTCCTGGGGCCTCGCGGGGCCTTCTCGGGGTCTTCTTGGGGCCTCCTGTGGGCACTGCCTGGGGCCATCTTGGGGCGCCTCCCGGGCACCGCTGGGAGCCGTTGTGGGGCACCCTGCGAGCCTCGGGGGGCATCTCGGGGCCATCTTGGAGGAGAGCGATCAAAGCCAGGAAGGGGAAGAAACAGACAGACACAACTAATCGTCGATTCCCAGGAACATATCAGGAGTGGGGAGGAAGACACACACCCAGAAAATACGGGACAATATGGGAAACCTGGGGAAACACACACACAACACACAACACACAACACACAACATGCAACACACACCACACGCAAACACAACACACAAACACAAACACTGGCACACACACAAACACAAACACAAACACAAACACAACCACACACACCCACGCACACACCCCCACGCACGCACGCACACACAGACACAGACACAGACACACACTGACACACACACACACACAATTACACAACCACGCACAACCACACACAACCACATACACCACACACACCACACACATCACACACACACACCACACACACCACACACACCACACACACACGCCCACCCACCCACCCACCCACCCACACACCCACACACACAACACAAATTACACCACACACACACAGCACACAACACAAACAACACACAACACACGACACACAACTCACAACACACACGCAAACACACATCACCACACACACAACACACACAACCCACACACAACCCACACACACAACACACAACACAGAACACAACCACCCACACACAACCAACCACACACAACCAACCACGCACAACCAACCACACACACGCAACCACACACAACCAACCACACGCAACCACACACAACCACACACAGCCACACACAACCACACACAACCACACATACACAACAACAACCACACACAACCACACAACCACACAACCACACAACCACACAGCCACACAACCACACAACCACACAACCACACAACCACACGACCACACCACCACACAACCACACAATCACACAACCACACAACCACACAACCCTTCAAACAGAAAAAACCACATCATCACATAAGCACACAACTTCACAACCACGCAACCACACAACCACACAACCACACAAACCACACAACCACACAACACACAACACAAAACACACAACACACAACACACAACACACAACACGCAACACACAACATGCAACACACAACACACAGCACACAGCACACACCCCACAGCACACAGCACACAGCGCACAGCGCACAGCACACAGCACACAGCACACAGCACACAGCACACAGCACACAGCTCGCAGCACACAGCACATAGCACACAGCACACAGCACACAGCACACAGCGCACAGCGCACAGCGCACAGCGCACAGCGCACAGCGCACGGCGCACGGCGCACGGCGCACGTGCACGCGCACACGCGCACGCACGCGCGCACACGCGCACACGCGCACACGTGCACACGCGCACACACGCGCACACGCGCACACACGCGCACACACGCGCACACACGCGCACACACGCACACACACGCACACAACCGCACACACACGCACACACACGCACACACATGCACACACACGCGCACACACGCGCACACACGCGCACACACGCGCACACACGCGCACACACGCGCGCACACGCGCACACACGCGCACACACGCGCACACACGCGCACACAGGCGCACACACGCGCACACACGCGCACACACGCGCACACACACGCACACATGCGCACACATGCGCACACATGCACACCCACGCACACCCACGCACACCAACGCACACCCACGCACACCCACGCACACCACGCACACCCACACACCCACACACAACGACACATTCCCCCACACACGCACACACACTCACACCCACCCACACACCCACACACACACACACAACGCACACACACGCAGCACACAACACACAACACACAACACAACAAGCACAACACACAATACACAACACACAACACCAACCATACAACACACAGCACAACACAAAACGCACAACGCACAACACACAACACACAACAGACAACACACAACACATAACACACAATACACACCACACAACGCACAACACACAACACACAGCACACAACACACAACACACAACACACAACATACAACACACAACCTACCATTCGCAACACACAACACACATCAACCACCACACAACACACAACGCAACACACACACACCACACAACACACAGCGCACAACACAAACCACACACCAGACAACACACACCACACAGCACACACAACACACAGCACACAACGCACAATACACAGCACACAGCACACACCACACACCACACAGCACACAACACACAACACCAACCATACAACACACAACACAACACAACACGCACACCACACACCGCACACCACACAACACGCAACACAACACAGAACACACAACACACATCACACAACACACAACAGTCAACACACACACCACACAACACACAACACACAACACACAACGCACAACACACAGCACACACCACACAACACACACCACACAACACACATAACCACACACATCAAACCACGCACAACCAACCACACACAACCAACCACACACAACCAGCCACACACAACCAACTTCACACAACCACACACAACCACACACAACCACACACAACCACCCACACACAACCACAACCACACACACAACCACACAACCACACATCCACACAACACACAACCACACAACCACACAACCACACAACCACACAACCACACAACCACACACACTCAACCACACAACTACACAACCACACAACCACACAACCGCACAACCGCTCAACCGCACAACCGTACATCTGCACAACCGCACAACACACAACACACAACACACAACACACAACCACACAACCACACAACCACACAACCACACAACCACACAAGCACACATCCACACAACCACACAACCACACAACCACACAACCTCACAACACACACCACACAACACACCACACAACACACACAACACACACCACACAAGCACACAACACACAGCACGCAACACACAACATAAAACACACAACACACAACCCACTCCACACAGCAGACAGCACACAGCACACAGCACACAACACATAACACACACCACACAACACACACAGCACACACCACACAACCACACAACACACAGCACCCAACACACAACACACAACACACAAGACACAACACACTCCACACAGCACACAGCACACAGCACACAGCACACAGCACACAGCACACAACACACAACACACACCGCACAGCACACAACACACAACACACAGCACACAGCACACGGCACACACCACACCACACACAAACCAATCACAACCACACAACCACACAACCACACACAACTAACCACACACAGCCAATCACACACACACATCAAACCACACACATCCAACCACACACATCCAACCACACACAACCACACACAGCCACACACAGCCACACGCAACCAAACAACCACACAACCACTCAACTACACAACCACACAACCACACAACCACACAACCACACAACCACTCACAACCACTCACAACCACACAACCACACAACGACACAACCACACAACCATACAACCACACAACTACACAACCACACAATCACACAACCACACAACCACACAGCCACACAATCACACAACCACACAACCACGCAACAACACAATCACACAGCCACACAACCACACAGTCACACAACCACACAACCACACAACCACACAATCACACAACCACCCACACTCAACCACACAATCACACAACCACACAACCACACAACCGCACAACCGCTCAACCGCAGAACCGCACTACCGTACAACTGTACAACACACAACACACAACACACAACACACAACACACAACACACAACACACAACACACAACACACAACACACAGCACACAGCACACAGCACACAGCACACAGCACACAGCACACAGCACACAGCACACATCACACAGCGCACAGCACACAGCACACAGCACACAGCACACAGCACACAGCACACAGCACACAGCACGCAGCACACAGCGCACAGCGCACAGCGCACAGCGCACAGCGCACAGCGCACAGAGCACAGCGCACAGCCCGCGCGCACGCTCACACGCGCACGCGCGCGCTCACACGCGCACACGCGCACACGCGCACACGCGCACACGCGCACATACGCGCACAGGCGCACACACGCGCACACACGCACGCACAAGCACTCACACACACACACGCATACACACGCACACACACGCACACACAGGCGCACACACGCGCACACACGCGCACACACGCGCACACACACGCACACATGCGCACACATGCGCACACATGCACACCCACGCACACCCACGCACACCCACGCACACCCACGCACACACGCGCACACACGCGCACACACGCGCACACACGCGCACACACGCGAACACACGCGCACACACACACACACACACACACACCCACGCACACCCACGCACACCCACGCAAACCCACGCACACCCACGCACACCAAGACACACCCACACACACCCACAGACACCCACACACACACACCCCACCCCCCCCCCCCCCCCCACACACACACACACACACACACACACACACACACACACACACACACACACACACACACACACATACACACACATACACACACACATACACACACCACACACCACACAACACACGACACACGACACACGACACACAACACACAACACACAACACACAACACACAACACACAACACTCAACACACAACACACACCACACAACACACAACACACAATACACACCACACAGCACACAGCACACAGCACACAGCACACAGCACACAGCACACAGCACACAACACACAACACACAACACAAACCACACAGCACAACATTCACCACACACCACACACCACACACCAGAAACCACACACCACACACCACACACCACACAACACACAACACACAACACACAACTCACAACACACAACACACAACACACACAACACACAACACACAACACACAACACACCGCACACAACACCCAACACACAGCACACAGCACTCAACACACATTACACAACACACATCACACAACACACAACAGTCAACACACACACCACACAACACACAACACAACACACAACACACAACACACAACACACAACACACACACACACACGCACGCACGCACGCACACGCACACACACACACACACACGTCTATTCATTTGTGTGTCCCAGGGCCCCATCACAAAGTTGGGACCGTACAGTCGTTGCGCTGAAGAAGGAACCCGTTCTGTTGGGGAGGGGCTCGGTGTTCCTTGATTGTTTCGCAGCTTGCCTGGGGTTTTCCTCCGGTTTTCGATCGGAAGCCGAAGCTTTTACCTTCTGGACAGAAGGGGCCTCGTGCCTTATTTAGGGTTCCTTAGGTCAACGCCCCGACTGCAGTGCATTAGCCCCCCCCCGCCAGGAGGCCAAGATGTTGCCAACGCCTTGGCACCATCCATGCATGCTTGTGGCCTTCTCGCCGAGGCCACCCCGGACACCCTGGCGGCCCGCGGCCCGGCCCGTCCAGGCCCAGGGGTAGGGTTAAGTCGGGCCAGTCCCTCTATAGGAGGAATTTGCAAAAAGTAGTAGAAAATTGTCAGGGGACGATGTTTTGACAATTTTTGCGCAATGGTTTGGTATGTTTTGACAATTCTTTATTTTTCGTCCAAAATCGGCGTGCAGCGGGACAGGCCCGATTTGAAGGTAGGGGGGAGGTAGAGTGGAGGGGCAAACCGCTCCTCGAGAGGGGGAGAACAGGGGTTGGAACGCGCTCTAAGCCACCTGCGCCCTAAAGTCAAGCAGAGGCGAAGCGTCCTAGCTCGCCTATAGGCCTGCCAAAGCATGTTCTAGGAACCTTTTGTGGTCTGCAAGAAATGTTCGTAGAGCTTTTCTGGCTGATACCGTCTTGTGTAGGATTCCCAGTCGCATGCATGCACGCTGGAGAGGACGGCCACAGCATGCTGTGGCCGTCTTCTCTCCCGCGCTGGCCTGGCCTGTCGCCTGTTCCCGACCTCTCGACCCGTGCCCCGCAGCTCGTTCCATGCGCTCCCGCATGCGACCTGGCGCGCTCCGTCGCGGAGCTCTTGGCGCGGAAAAGATGCGCACGCGTGGCACCTGGCAGCCGTTTCTTGCACGCCTTTCGGTCGGACATATTCTTCCATGCAGGACATCGACCCCGAGGAAGTCGGAGGTTGATAGACCTCCTACCCTGACACGTCGATTCAGGAGTTGGCCGTTTTCGGTTCGCGGGAGGGCGGCGCGGCCGTCATTTTTGCGGGTCCAGGTCCGTCGGTTTCGGTCCCAGACCGTTTTCACCAAAGGGTGGTTTGCTAAAGGGAGGTTTGTCCACCGCCGAGGGGAGCGGATCCTGGACCCCGGGGCACTCCCCGGCAGCGGCGCATCGTCCCGAGCCGTCGCCCGACGGCCCCCAGAGGCCCCCTGGAGGGCCCCGCAGGCTTGGAGGCGAGGAGACGTCCAAGAACCGCTTCCTCCGGGAACGCTCACTTCTCTGCTGGGCATGGCCTTCCGTGCCACCTCCCCCTGCGTTCGTCGAAGGAGACAGATGCACGACGCCAGAGGCAGACCCCGATCAGTGGACGGTTTCCGCTGAGGAGATCGACCCCGAACCCGGGAGCCAGGGAACCCCGAACCCACCGAAATCGGCCCGGGACCGACAGCCGGGAACCCCGGAAGCGGGAACCGGGAACCCGGGAACCCAGCCTGCTACCAAAATCGGCGGGAAACGTTCGCCAAATCTTTCAGGTTCCGCTAGTCAGAGCGTGAATTACCTACCCCGCTTTCGCTTCCAGGCAAAACCAAGCCATACCACGCGCCTCCTCGTCAAGCGGCCTGACCAGTACAGGCTGCAATTTGGCATCGTTTGGTATCTCTTGGAAGCGAGGGTGGTCAAAAGCGAGGGAGGTTTGTTTTCCCCCTAGCTAGGGCCCCTTCAGTGCAAGCCTTCATTGGGGAAGAAGCTTTCGGCTCTCCGCGCGTTTTCTCTCGGATCCGAGCTGGGGCTACCCGGCGACGCCTCCGGCGCCGCCCCTGGCGCGGGCCCAGCGCAGATTTGAGAAATCCGCGCGGGCCGTCGAAAGTTTCTGTTTATGCTGTTTTCGTCCCCTTTAGTTACGGTAGGTTTGCGTCGTGTCGACCGGCGGCGACCCCGCCAGCGGCGTTCAACCTTGAACGCCGCGGGCGACCCAGAATCGTTCGATGTGGAACGATTTGGACGATTCGGAAACGGCCGATCGTTCAAGGTTGAACGATCCCCGCGGTGTCAGAAACCAA